GTGTGTTTAATTTGTAATGGTTGTTAGAGTTTTGTGTATTTAATTTGTAATGGTTGTTAGAGTTTTGTGTATTTAATTTGTAATGGTTGTTAGAGTTTTGTGTATTTAATTTATAATGGTCGTTAGAGTTTTGTGTGTTTAATTTGTAATGGTTGTTAGAGTTTTGTGTGTTTAATTTGTAATGGTTGTTAGAGTTTTGTGTATTTAATTTGTAATGGTTGTTAGAGTTTTGTGTATTTAATTTGTAATGGTCGTTAGAGTTTTGTGTGTTTAATTTGTAATGGTTGTTAGAGTTTTGTGTATTTAATTTGTAATGGCTGTTAGTTTTGTGTATTATTTAAAAAATTTGTGCCAAATATTAAACTTTGTGAATTACACTTCAAGATAAATTTAGGGAGACAGACTTTCTCTTTATTTAATATTTGTAACTTATGAATATTAACTAAGGTAGAATGTGTTACAGTGAAGTATCACCTGCCATGTTTCTCGTGCGAAAAGTCCCAAATGTTGTCTATACAGATACAGCATCATGCTAGTACAGATGTCAAGGGTGGAAAACATCACATCTAATCTACCGTGGTAATTACAAATAAGGTGTTATACCCGATTCTCTCCATCTTTTATAGGTATTATAAATTATTTTCTTTTAGTTTTGTTTGTTGGAAGTCTGAAAAGTGGCAGATGTGTTTCAGTAATAGGTATATTATTATTCACCATCGATATTTTGACGTTGTTGACTTGCCTTCAAGATACAATATGCTTCAGGCAAAGAAGAATATCAATAAAGATAGCATGTCATGTTATTCTGTCTATATGCAACACATTTTCTCAGAACTTTTATGCCTGAAAGGTAACTTTGTAGTTATTTGAAATAATCCCTACCATTATTCACCACACGTGTATGGTTTTGTAATAGCCACCACAATTAGTAAGAATTTTAATGAATTTAGGTTGTGTTTGCTAATGGATGATATCTTCCACATATTCAACAGTATGTTTCTAAAAGGTATTCTTACTAATGTTTTAACATGAAATGAAGTAAGTTGCATGTATGTTCGTGAAAGATGTGTGCTGTATTTGTATCTTTCATTTATTTCAATGCTCTGTTCAGTTTATTAGCTTGAAAAAGTTCTTATTGAAAACCTGTTTCATTCGTTACCAACACATTACAAGTTAAATTGATCTCAAGTTTATACATGTCACTTTTTTTAAACAGTTATAGACACAGAGTGAGTATAAAGAAAACTACCATATTTAAAATTATTATCTTAAAAACTACTTGTCATAAGAGGGAAAATTTTTATCAGGTTCACGTTGAGAATCACAAGCTTTATTTAAGAAATTCTGAATGTGTTACGTGTATTTCAAAACTATATGTTATAAACATAAATCATTGTCAGTGAGTCGATCACCGTAAAGTACGACAAGAGGGTCTAAAGCGGTCATGACCCTCTGCATATATAACTAGAAAATTATTAATGTTATTTATTTTAGTAAACATCATAGGTTTATACTTGTCTTTTTAGGGAATAAAATATTGATTTATGAAAGATGTTCGTGTATTTTGACATGTTTATCATTTGTATAAATTAACTTTCTTGGAGGCAAATGCAACTGTGGTAAATTTATATGTCAAAGTTTCTGTGTAGAAGTAGTTATATAATTGTTAATTCTTAATCAGTAAATTATTATTATTATTTTTTTTTATTAAACAAGCTATTTTCTTTTTACAGAGAAGTAAGGATGAAAACTTTACACCTCTTGGTTCTGGTTTTCCCAATAGTGATAGCATTGGAAGATGGGCCTAATGTCTGTACAAAAGAAGAATCGTATGTTTGCCTTATGTTTATGTTCATGAACGTGTACTGTATCTTTGATAACTGAACAATGTGATACGATATATGCTTAATTGGAAATTATTGTTTAAGAAAAGTTATTGTAACTTGTATCATAAAATTCATGTTGTGTATTTGAAAAAAAAAAAACTCGAAATAAGGAAAAACTTCTTTCATATTATTTTTAAAACAAAAATATTTGTAGAATCAAAATGCAAGTTAAACCACAATGGCCAGCAATATTAAAAATAATTCATGTTATGACTAGCTCGAGATTACAGTTTAAAGAATCAACTCCCAATTTATAATGCCGAAATTGACGAATCGTAAACCACTTTTCAAGTAGAAGTTGTGATAAAAAAAAATTGTTTTTTTTGTGATATTCTTAAAAATATGAATTTTTAACAGCCCGGTCATGCCAGTGATATAGGATGTCATAAATTTGGCTTTGTGATTTAGTTGCAAATTACTTCATGACTATAGTGTTCTTATCATTGAAATTTTACACAGCATACATGCACATATTTTAAGTGTGTTAAAACAGTAAAATTTCTTTTAAAACGTGTATTTCCTTTTTTTTTTTCTATTCTAGTTACAGTCACTGTTCAATGAACAGTATTATCATTGAACAAAATGTTTCCAACGAAATTGTTTATGTAGCAACTTTTTTTCTAGCTTATAAATATGTAAAAAAAATATACTGCCTTTGAATATGTATGTTTGATTTTGTGTTACAAAATTTAGTGATATTTGAATTTAAAAAGTGTTTCATAATTTATTGCTTTTTAATGTTTTAGGGTTACCACTACAGTAAGAGTATCATACACGAAACCTTATCAAATTCGTACATTTGTATGGTGTCTCGCGTTCCCTCCACGCTGTTCGAGATACAGGTAACTTTACAAGATTTCTCAATAAGTTATTAATTTACATTACTGGCATTTAACTGTTAAATGTTAAAAGTGCAACCGTTTAACTATTAGTCTCACTAGCTAGTTGGTGGGTGGTGTTGAATGGCTATTTTCCCTCTGTCTTCTAAGTTAGGGACAACTTGTAAAAATAGTCCTCAAGTTAGTGGGTGCAAAATTCAACCAAAAAACTTCCTTCAACCTTTATAACTAATACTTTGTAAACATCTTTTAGCTCTGGGAAACATTATTGTATGAAAAAGATGAAAATCTTAAACATGAATAATTGTTGCAGTTGTTACCGTAAAAACGTACACTGATTTTGGAAGGTAAAATATATGTACTTGAATTTTGTGAAAAGTATGTGTTTATTATTGTGGCATTAAGTTTTAATTAATGGTTAATTATGTTCTCAAAATTATTGGGTTGTGATAAATTACAGAAATATTACTCTAAACATTTTTTTATTCACCAAATTGCAAAGCTTTTTATAACACTGCCTATGTATTAGAAACAAGTTCTTAGACTAAAAAAAAATCTTGTATTTTTAACAGTACCATAACTATTTAGCTATCTAATTTTAGGCCTTTGTGAATATGCGATAGTAATTTAGCTATAATATTTTAAGTTTGATGCAGCATATTTTTTTTTAACACATAAAATATTGTAGGGAAGGTGTGGATCCTGGACTTTTTTTTTCTAGGGGAGGATGTTCTTCCACCAGGTCATGAAACCTGTAGAAAAAAATGTATTTTCTTTGTTTGATAGTCCATGGGAAAGGGGGGGTTACAACGACCTAACTGGATCCACCCCTGTTTGAGATATCTTTGTGTAATGTCTGTGTGCAATTTTTAGTGATTTAATTTTGTTTTCTAGGGTTGGCTACACCAAAGGCTATAAATTAGATACAAAGGTGACGAAAAAAACAGTGAATGTTTGCTGCAAAGGATACATTCTTAGTGGTGATGAGGATAAATGTCTTCGTAAGTGAAGTTTTTAGCCCTTATTTTAGTAAAAATTAAACTTAATAAAAGCATATTTGTTAGTATAAAGCTTGTAATGTTAACAGTTCAGGTAATTAGTAATTATTTTATCTTGGCTGAGAACTGGTATAAATTTCATGTGATATCAGCCTCAGCTTGTTTTATTGTTTATCTAACTGCCTGTCATGATTTTCACAATTCCTTTATAAAACTATACAAAAAGAGAAATGCACTGGAGTTTTCTTGCATGTGTTGGAGGGAGCGAAGGAATAAAGTGTGAGAGAGAAATTTTCACCGAATAAAATTCTTTGTGTGTATACAGTACTTAGAAGTATGTATGTTTCAATAAATAACTTCTGCATTTATTTTTCAGCATACTGTCACAATTCTTGCATCCATGGGGTCTGTGTTGCCCCCGAGAAATGTGAATGTCAGCCAGGGTGGGATGGTGACACATGCAATGTTTGTAAGTTGTCAGAGTTTTGAACTTTCTAGAATAATTGAACTATTTGACTGTAACATATTGTACAATATTTTGTCCAAATTCTAAATCTGATTTATAGACCTTGCTGATTAGGGCACTTGACTCGCAACCTGTGGGTTGCAGGTTAAGGTCCCATCACCAAACATGCTTGCCCTTTCAGCTGTGTGGACATTATAATGTGATGGTCAATTCTTCTATTCAATTAGAGTAGCCCAAGAGTTGTCAGATAGCTCTGGATAACTTTGCTTGAAATTCAACAAAGGAAATCAAACAAATTATTAACTCTTGTCTAATCAATCAGATAATTTTTCCTGCTAAAACAGTCTACTTGTGCAGATTTGTTAGTTACTGACTTTGCTGTTTCTTTAAGTTAACCTTGTGTGAAGAGAATGTTAGGATAAAGATTGTTGATGTGATTTAGGAAGCATTGTTTTACATTGTCTGTAGTAAAACAACTGTAAAAAAAACAAAAATCTCATCCGGTGTAGGGGATCGTAAGTGACTCTAGTTGCTATTAATTCAATATTAAAACATTTTCTCACTGCAAAGCTGTGTATTTACTGTTCATTGATATCATGTTTATTAAAATAATAATTTTCTTTTAACATGTTTACTGGAAGTATGGAATGGTAAGTTTTATTAAAATGTAAAATGTTATTACTAATGTGATTGTTAACATGTTTGTAATACTGAACATTTGTTGTTAAAAATAATTATTTTTAAATTATAATAAATAATTAAAAACAACGTTTTATATTTACACAATAAAAACTTTTATTGAAGCCGTAAGGCTTCCAC